GGAGGGGACTATAATCGTTGCAATGAAATGAAATACAATAGGATGAATGTAAAGTTGATGTTCTCCCATGTAAACTATCATTCAATTCACAATAAAAACTTAAAAAAAAAAAAAAAAAAAAGAGTCAATGATACTGAAGGAAGAAGTCCAAGGTGCATTGAAGCAATTGGCAAAGAACAAGGTGCCGGAAATTAATGGGATATAAATTGAAATCTTTCAATAAACGGGAGGCACTAACTCATCTATACCAAGAAATTTGTGAAACAGCTACCTGGTTAATTGACTGGAAGAGATCCATATTTGTGTCCATTTCAAAGAGAGAGAGATGACCCAACAGAGTACAGAAATCATCAGACAATATCATTAATATCACATGCAAATAAAAGTTTCCTAATGATAATATAAAAACGGCTGCAATAGTACAGCGACAGACAACTCCCAGAGATTCAAGCTGGATTCAGAGGAGGACATGTAACAAGGGAAATCATTGCCGACATCAGAAGGATCTTGGCTGAAAGCAGAGAATACCAGAAAAATGTTTACCTGTGCTTTACTGACTCTACAAAGGCTTTCAACTGTGTGGCTCATGAGCACATTCATAGCCCGTGGCTTAGAGTCCTGAAGAAGAGCTTCATGGTGGCTACCTTCATCTACTTCTGAGTCAAGTGGGAGTGCTGCCAGCCCTCCATCTCCATCTTTTCCCCCTCTGCCTCTCCACACTCCTTTTTAGCCACACTTTCCAGGAGTTCTCCTGACAGGCTCTGCCTTCTCTCTCATTAGCTCCCGCCTAGCTCTCCTCTCTCCTATCTCTACCTTACCCATTTTTAATGTCCAGCTAAATTCCTATTTCCTTCTGACCCTGCTGGTTTCAGGGATCATTAGTTTTGCCTTCTTCAGAGTTATCTTGGAGCTGAATGATTTGAGGATTTAGGGATGCTGCTAACTCCCTGTTTCTCCCTCTTTTTCCTCTGACACAACTTTAAAGCACTTTAAGTCTCAAAATCATATGCTCATTCTTATACAAAGACAGGTTTTCTGATCATGAGAGTGGTGGATTCCATGTGGTTTATTCTGAAATAAATTTGAGAGATCAGAATTGAACTCCCCAAATGGTATGTCAAACTGACCCAGTGTTATTTTGGGAAAATGTTGCAATACCCAATGGAAACCAACACTGCACACAGCATGTATGTGTTGTGAGGGTCGGCAGGTTCAATATTATTGAACAAATATCCTTGTATATGTCTGTAGAATTTATATTAAACAACTCTGTCTCACACATGTATGTGTTGTGAGGGTCGGCAGAAATTTATTATTGAACAAATATCCTTGTATATGTCTGTAGAATTTATATTAAACAACTCTGTCTCACACATGCTGGCTGACTCTCAAGTCTGTATCAGTAGCCCCAACATCTCTCTTTTTTATTAAATGTTACAGATATTCTAAAATGTATTGAGAATAAAAGAACAAGCAACTGTGTGCCACTATCCAGCTTCCAAAATAAAACGAATGTATTTTTAGTTCTCTAAAAACCTCTTCTTCCTTCCGGCTCCTCTCTTCTCCATTTATAAGCATCACCCTGGTCTGTTTGTATATTTCTATAACATGTCTGTAAATACATACTATATTTTTTCCTTTATTTAAACATTAAGGTGAAATTCAAAACATAAAATTAACCATCTTAAACAATTCAGTGGCACTGAACACACTCACAATGTTTTACAAGCACTATCCCTATCTAGTTCTGAAGCAATGCCATCGTGCCAAAACAAACCCCATGCCCTTTAAGCTACTACTCCCATTCTCTCCTCCTCCCAGGCCCTAACATCTACCAGTCTGCCTTTTCTGTCTGTAAGGGTTTGCCTGTTCTGGAGAGTCCATATAAATGGTATAAGAAAATTATGAAAATTAGACCTTTTATGTCTAGTTTCTTTCACTTAGTATAACATTTTGAGATTCATCCATGTTGTACTGTAGCATGTATCACAACTTCATTCCTCTTTATGGCTAAATAATGTTCCATTGTATGGCTAGACCACATTTTGCTCATCCATTGCCTGTTGATGGACCGTTGGGTTGTTCCATCATGTGGCTACTATGCATAGTGCTATAGTTAACACTGGTGTAGGAGAGGTGCATTTCAGAAGGCCCCTTGAGTGATTCTGCTGTGTAGCCTAAGCTTGGTCTAGCTATCTTGACTTCCCAAGGTCAGCTAGAGAGGGCAGGGCAAAGAGAAGGGACTAAATAAAGTTATGCAGAATGAGTAAACAAAGCATTTAAAATTAACTCACTTTTAATTATTCAGGGCAATGGGAGACAGGGAAAACACATAAATGGAAGGGATTGTAACATTTTTAAACTTTAAATTTTTTTGTAACTTTTTCCCTCCGTTTCCCTCTTTATTACAATAATTCGGATTCATGTTACGGAGGCAGTATTAACAGCTAGTGAACTAACCAACAGGCAAGAAACCAGATGCAGAATATGAACCATGCAAGGACAAGTAAGACTCTCATGGTTGAGGTTCGTCTTTGGGATAAGGCCGACTGAATGTGGACCTCAGTTCTTTCTATCTGTGTGACCTCAGCCCCATTCCTTCACCTCTCTGTGCCCACTCCCTCATCTACAAAAGGGTGAGGATTAAAGGAAATGATCCACATAAAAGCCTTGGTGAGTAGTGCTGTAGTTATTAGTTGTTGTGGTGTCGACTCTGACTCACGAGGACTACATGTGTGCAAAGTCGAAAGCTCCATAGGGGGTTTCAAGACTATGACCTTGGAGCAAATCCCAGAGATACCAATGTTTTGGTCAATAGTTGAGTGTTTAAGTAAGTGCTCAATAAATAGGAGTGGCTATCACCAATATTGGAGTCCTGGTGTGGTGGTGTGGGTTAATGTGCCAGACTGAAAAGCCGTTTGAACTGCAAGGTTGGCGGTTCAAACTCACCAGCTACTCCTAAGAAACCCTATACAGTGTCGCTGTGGATTAGAATCGACTTGACAGCACTTAACACCAGCAACATTACCAATATTGGACTCCTGGTATGGCGCTGTAGGATCAACACTGTACTTCGCACCACAAGGTCAGCAGTTCAAACCCACCAGCTGCTCCTTGGAAACCCTATACAGGGTTGCTAAGAGTTGGAACGGACTCAACAGCACTTAGCAACAACCAACAACATTATCAATATTATGAAGTTCTGATGGAACACTGGGTAAACACTGGGCTGCTAACTAAAAGGTCAATGGTTTGATCCCACCAGTCATTCTGAGGAAGAAAGATGAGCCAATTTGCATGCATAAAGATTCACAGCCTCAGAAACCCCAGAGAGTGGTCTTACTCTGTTCCATAAAATTGTTATGAGTCAGTATTGACTTAATGGCAGAAGGTTTATCACGATTATTTTAAACCAGGTGGGTGTTTGTGGACAGCAGGTGGCTAATCCACCAGGTATACCCTTAGGAAAATGCTGACATGTTACTGAGCCCCAGGACAAAGCTGGTGGACCAACCGAGGGCTGAATGTTGGTACTGGAGAAGCTGTCTTGTGAATTAAGGTTCTTAGTAGGCAATATTGGAGGCTGACACTGAGGGCAGTAGCTTCCGTGTATTGAACACTTTCTTTTTTTGTTTGTTTCAATTCTCTCTCTCTTTTTTTTGTTTTGTTAAGTTTTTATTGTGGATTGAGTGAAAGTTTACAGGGAAGATCATCAGTTTTACATTCAACTAATCATACAACTTGAGCATCAAAAAGATTATAATCCCTTCCATGTACCATCAGTTAACAGTATTTCTCTCTATTTACTTTAGCTTTTTTTTTTCTTTTCAACACTCAGGCATATATAATAATTTACATCACCAAAGGGCACATGCCACAAGTCTGCCTCCTGGCCACCAGCTCTTAGTCCCTCTTTTCCCATGAATCTAGAGCCCTCAACTACTCCGTCCTCCATGTCCCCATCTCTGCATCTATCTCTGGTGTTGCTGCTTCTCTGGATAAGGTCCCGCATTCTGCTTGTGCTCTTCTCCCTTGATGGTCCTAGGGTCCTCTGTTTCTGGACTGTAAGATTAACTACTCCCCCACTTTTGTTACAAAACTTTTACCTTTACAATTGTGACAGTGGCAATTAGTCATGATAACAATTACTCACTATTGAATCATACGAATCTTATCCCCATCTCTTTTCATCAGATTCATCTAGACAAGAAGAAAACTATTCAGTGGGGACTCTTTCTCCCACCCACCTCCACTCTTAAACTAAACTCCTTCTTGAAACCTTGTAAGCCAGTTACTTTGTGCCTTTATCGCCCTCTCATTTTAGGTAGTCAATGTGTAAGTTGCCCGTCCCTATATACCCTGTATACAGAGGGGATAGCATTGATACTTGACAGCTATTCCATGAGAGAAAGATGAGGCTTTCTGTACCTGTAAAGATTTACAGCCTTGGAAATCCTGTACAGGGTCACTATGAGTCTGAGCCGACTCCACGGCACATTACAACAACAACAACCTCCATGAGTATAGGTCAGGTTCATCAAACTGTAGCAATTTACCCTTGTTTCCTTTATGTGGTGAGCACTTTCAATGTGCCAGATATTGTGCTGAAGAGTTGGCATGCAGACCTCATTCAATCTTCACAACAATCCCATGGAGTTGTTGTCAAGTGCCGTCGAGTCAGTTCTAACCCATAGTGACCCTGCATAGGGCTCCAAGGAGCGACTGGTGAGCCTGAACCCCACCGACCTTGTGGTTCAAACCGACTTTGCAGTCCAGCACAGCCCACAGCACCACACCAGAACTCCAACCCCATGGAGTAGGTATGGCCATTATCCCCATTTTACAGATGGGGAAAGTGAGTCATAGAGAAGTTAAGTCATTCGCCCAAAGTCACTGGCTGAGCTAGGATTTGAAGGAGGCAGCTTTCGGAACCTGCATCCCAAACCAACGCGCTGTGCCTCCCTCAACAAATCCATGTGTGCTTTTCTGTGCCATTTTAGCTATGCTTTGATGAGTGACAAGCTGTACCAACAAAAGGAGTCTGTGATCAGCTCTGTGCACACCAAAGTAAAGGGGATAGCAGAGGTGAGAGAGGAGATTATGGAGAACGGAAAGAAGAAAATAGTATGGAACATCTTTGACACCGCAGATTACACCTTCCCTTTGCAGGTGAGCATTTGTCCACCTTCTAGGCACTGTCACTAGCCTCACCCTCTCACCTAACACCACACCTACAGCCAGGGACCTCCCTCCAGAGAGGAGCATTGGTTGGCCCTACGTCAAACAGCCCTCTGAAAATCCCTGCTGAGAAAACCTACAATTGTAAAACGGGTCAGATCCAGTGGCTCGGAAAAGGGACGGTTGAATGCTTTATTGAATCCGGGACGGTTGAATGCTTTATTGAGTCCTCCAGGGTTTCTCAAAATAGCAGCATGTCCAGGTACACTTCAGATACCTCTTGATTTACTCGTACTTGGTTTCTACATGGCTTTTCAGAAGCCGGGCCAGCAAGTTCTGGTCAGTCTCAGAAGGACAAAGAGTTTTCTACCTGGAGAGTACCAGCCCTTCTGTATTATGTGTGTGGCAAATGTTTGCTCAAGACCAAGCCAGCCTTAGGTATGTTAACTGCACAAAGAAAGGATGCAGATGACAGAGGGGAAAGGCATGGATGGCAGAGAAAGGGCTGGTGACAAAGTCTAAATTTGCAAGAAGAGAAAATGAAAGTAGAATGAATAAACAGGAAG